TTCAAATACTCCATTATTACACCAACCAAAATAAATTTAAAAATAATTTTTTTCCCCGCCCCCGCCCCCGCCCCCCCCCCCCCCGATCTTAAATGCAGCTTTTAAAATGTAATCATTTACAGCGGGAAAACATTTCTCTGCAAAGATGAAAGGCATTTCTGAAGGAAAAAGAAGCAAACTGTTCCCGTCCGTCCGCCAAAGGGATATATGAAACTGATGCTCTGCAAAGTGCCGGGACGAGCCGAGAACCTGCCTGAAGTGCTCCAGGGGCACAAACCCCTGATTTCAGAAGCAAAACTAGTCACAGTGCATCTGGTAAAATGTCATCTGAACTAATTAGTTTTACTCTGCCAATCTAGTAACAGTGGAAACAGATATAGAAGCACAGCAGAGATATTTCTGTGCTAAAAGTGAACTTATGTCAAAGCAATTTACCTTTAAAGGGAAGAAATAAGTGAAATGCTCATTTTCCTACTCTTTTTCTTATCGCTCAAATAGCCAAAATTATGCCTTTTTCCTTCGAGTAAAGACTCTGTATCTGCCTCTCTTTTGGTAGATGAGCAAGGCTATTATTTGCCAGCGGGAAGTTTTGCTTTCTATGGATCTTACTCCACACTGGGAAAAAAATGTATTTTTCCCCCTCTCTCCCAGAGGCAGGGAAAAAAACAATAAATAGACATGCAAATTGCATCCTCTGCTCAATTTACTGAGGTTATGAATGCAGGATAAGACATGAGTATTTACCTGAATACAGAATCCAAGTTACGGTCCCACAAGAAAACTGTTAAACTACTCCAGACCTACATGCATATTCAAGGTGTGACATATATGTATTTCATCCGGTCAAATTTCACACTGCCTTTGATCAGTAAGAATCACCATTTTTTGCTTATATTCATAACATCCGATGTGGTATTTTGGGATGCCAATGAAAACAGAACTATTAATTCTTGGCACAAAAACCAGGACCCATTTTCTGGCTCCTTTCTGAAATAAGCCAAATATACATAGCTAGCATAATGTGTCTTTTGGAGAACAGCGGGGCACATTATTATCTAGTTTTACGCAGCTTTCTACCAGATATGATCAAAACATTATATTTCATAAAGCAAAGATATTAAAATCAAATGCCAGTACACGCTGTTGCATATGTAAGAAAGGATAATTTTGGTTTCAGAATCTTGAAATCTTGAAAAAGGGCCATTACCTTTTTAGCGCCTTGCTCTTCTTCGACACCATCTCCTATAACCACATACACTACTTTTCTTCCAAATCTTTGAATTATTCGCTCAAAACAACTTTCCTTTCCTGAAAAAAAAAAAAAAAAACAACAAAAAAAACAACTAAAAGGATAAGTGGTGAGGAGATATCACCAAATCACTAGTTAGTATTAGCCTGGACCTCCCCAGTACTTTAATACATAATTATTGCAAGAGAACAGAGAAGAGCCTCTCCTGCAGGATGGTGTACCCAGGCTTATTGCAGCTTTGTTCCTGCCAGAACAGCTGACAGGCAGCCTTCAAATCTGCTCTGAAAGGTCATTTAATGCACACGACATGGTAGATGTAGCGTACCACTGGTCTGCAGTATCACCTTTCTCGTCTCCTACACTAATCTGAGACATGTTTTGGAGGGGATTCCCCCACCAGGAGAATTCTGAGTAGAAATTCTAGCTTTTTCTCCACAACCTGTGACAAGATTAATCACAGCTCCTGAAACAGTAGTATCCTGACTTAGGAGGTCACAAAAAAGATTTAGGTTTAAATGCCTGTAATCCAATACATGGTCAAGGTCCTTGATCCTGCACTGGGATCCATTAACGTAGCTCATTACTTCAGTGCATAGACCTATGGAAATGATCCCAGTTCTGTACAGTGTTTCAGGCATCGATACTGGGAAGCCAGAATGTAAGTAAATGCCTGCAGTAGAGTTTCCTTAAATGCTATCAGTCTGAAAGATCACATCAGCCCGGCCAAAATGCACGCTTACCTGTGTGCCTACTGCATGTCTAGACCAAAACCAGGAAAAGTTGTGTTTTTCAAAATAATTATTTCAGCTACAGGACAATACCAGCATAAGAGCAAATAGATTGGAAATATGAAAAAGATTTCTTGTCAGCAGAGAAACCACACTACTCAATGACATCTTTTCACATTAGCGCCAGGTATAAGGGACCTGCAATACTAGGTTAAAACGGTTAAAGCTGAAAAATCATAATCGTGCCACATTACAAAAATCTCCTGATTTCCTGTGACAGTCAGTGACTGAAGACAGTATTCCAAAAGTACTCCTTGTTCTGTGTACTTAAAGTCATAAATATTTATTACAATGCTTCAGTTAAAAGGTGTATTTGAAGTATTAAAATTGAAAGCTCTAACTCACAAAATTTCTATAGTCAGGTAGAGTGACATTTCCATCTCAGAAATGGTTTTAAATCCTTTACAGTAATGCTTTCAAATTTCTATATAAAATGCTCAACCAAGGTATTTAAAAAAAACAACAACAACAAAACCAAACAAAAATAACCCACCATTTTTTCTTGGCCATTTGAGCTTCCTGTATTACAGATACTTAAGAACACATGAAAAATGTTTTCATGTTGCCAACAATTTTGAGGGAATCTGAGACAGAACAGATACGTCATAATCATGTTAAAAATTACAAGCACCATTGCCATCTGGTACCATGTATTTCTACATACTCAGAATAACATCTTTCATATTGAACCAGAAAACAGAAATAAACATTTGCCTGGCTGAAGATTATTACAGTCAGTATGAATAAACTTAAATAATTACATTCTGCAGCAAAATATTCTTGCTTCTGTTAAGCTGTTTAACAAAATTTGCTCCAGAAGACATGAAAACGAATGCAGCCAGGTTTACCTTTACAGAATTACTTGTGTTAACCTGAGGTGACTGCATAGGTCTCTACTGACAGCCTACCACAAAAACACCTGCATTGCTACATACGCTCACAGTTTTGAGAAAATGTGACACAAAATGATTATATTTCCTCCTAACAGAGGCTGCATCTGTGTTTGTAGAGCTATATGAGGTTCTTTGCAAAGCGCTTTTATGATGTCTTAGCATGAAATGTCCTTTCTGAGATATAACATTAACCCGTATGCTTCTAAATATATATTCAAGAATGTGGACTACAATTGCTTTTTATTTAGACTTACTTTTATTGTTTCAAATATAGCACAACATTATAAAAATAGCTCACCTATTTTAGTTGCGCTGTAAATATTCTCTATGGGAAATACAACCCCTAATCCATACAACAAGACTTTTGCCAGAGCTGGAATTAGCTGTGTAGTTGTTACAAGGATATTCACACAATTTGTCCTGTGGAACAGAAAACACAAATATCCTTTTTAACAAAGCAAAGCAAAACAAGGAAAATCTTATCCCTCCCATCAGAACCCTTCACTATTATTGACACTTCTCAAAGAAAGTTACTATTCTCTGCATTACAGGAGAGCAAAGTACAGAACATCAAGGTTAGATCAGAACAGGGAATGACAAGAAGGTAGCCCATAGCATCATTATGCCCACAAGACCAGGCAACCTCTTCTAAATCAACTGCACACATCTTTACGTTCTATAACTGCCCCATCCATACTCACCTTGAATGAATAAGGGTGAGTGCTTTCAGTGCAAGTGTTAACCAAGAATCCGTCAAAGCTTCAATTTCTGCTCTTAGTTGTAGCCAAGCCTCTCTTTTTGCTGGACCAAGAAGACCTGCGGAGTAAATAAGGGCATGTCTGCACTGAAATTAAGTGACATTCTGTTGTTTTCATAAGAATCACAAGGTTGGAAACGACCTATAAGATCATCTAGTCCAGCCGTCTCCTCATCTCCATTGTCACCACTAGCACTAAACCATACCACGCAGCACGTCATGCAGACGCCTCTTGAACACTGCCAGGGATGGCGACTCCACCACCTCCCTGGGCAGGCCATTCCAGTGCCTGACTACTCTCTGAGAGAAGAAGTTCTTTCCTTTGCTTTCATTAGTTCAGATACAACTTCCCATACAGTGCAAAAAACAACAACATAAAACTCCTTCCTTTTTACTGGTTCTCATTTAAATCTGTTACATGCTTCATAGTCACTTGCCTCCAACATTGTTTTTGTAGGTATTGTATATTTCTTTTACTCGTCTGTAGCGGAATGCCAATTTTCTCATCCAATCCACTCCTCCACGCACCCCTGTCGCGAGGCACAAATTAGCGCTGGTGGCAGCTGCGGGAAAGCCATCCGTTCCAAAGTTATAGGTGCTATTTGGAGATAAGAAAACCCCCAAATTAACAAAAAACAACAGGCTACATTCAGCCACCAGCTACTCGCTGCTAGGTTGGAAAGGCTAAAATAGCTAAGAAGACAATGTGCTACTGTAAGCATTACAGCAGTTATCGCTTTCCCAGGGAGAAGCATGCAAAGCAACATTTTACCTTTTTCAGTTCTCTCGTACCTTAAGTCTTGACCATTGTCATCCGAAGAGACGTCATCAATGTGAACCTGGTCGCATTCCTAAGGTGACAGAAAGACTTTAGGATTTTCTTGATCTTGCAAATCTTAAGAAATAAAGCTATTAAAAAAAAGTGAACAATCTATTCATCAGGGATATTTTTAATTGTGGAAATCAGTAGATGGCAGTCTTGTTAAAACAACTATTTTACCTATTCCTTGCACTCATTTCTTAGTATGAACGCACACCATCGTTAGCTACTACTGTTAAATGGCTTTCCAAAAACACGTTTTTGTGTTTAGAAAGGAAAGTGGTTAAAAACAATTAGCATATGTGTTCCATAAACGTTCTTGTAGCCTTTCAGGTACCTTAAAACATCATGCTGCTCAAAGCTGATTCAGTCAGTGCATAAGTGTAACTGAAACCAGACATTTTGGTAAATGTAACATATTAGAAAAATTAAACCTGATGCTAACCGCCAATGAAATTATGACCTCTGATTGCTGTTGAGCCACACACCAACACAGCCTGAGGCCAGTGTTTCAGAGGAGCGCAGACGAAAAATCTGTTCCTAGTTTGCCATTCATTTGAGAGTTGTGAGTTTCCTTCTCTCTCTTTGGTCTTAGTGCATGAAAGCAGCATGCAAAGATGAAGAAAATCCAAACAGAATAGCCAGATCAAACCATCTTTCTTCAGTGACTTGTATGCAAACTAACACGGCACATTTATAATTAGCTTTGTCCATCACTAAAATTAAAAATCATAACGCATATTGTTTACCCAATAAAAACATCACTATTAACGATTTCAACATTTGGCAGGAAAACAAACAGACCTCTGGCACTGTAGATCAATCTCAATTCAGTGCTTGAAACAATAATGGATTTGAGTTACTTTAATAATTTCCTCTTCTCTCACTTAATGTGAAATCCTATAACAAACATAATCTATTTTAAATATGAAAATATTGCAATCCTTTATTTTTGTGTTACTGCTTTCCTCTGAACAAATTTTTCTCTCTCTATGGATTTGTGAGGAAGGGAGGGAAGACAGAAGTGGAAAGAAACTCAAACCAGCTGTTCCCTAACAGAATTAAAATCATGACCCTCAACCCTTTTTCTAAAACATCTATTTTCCAGCCAACCCTCTCCCAGCAAGCAGCAAGCTCCAAGGAGGAAAAGACTTTGACCCTGTAACCTTCTCCTCCTCTCCTGAGGTCAACAACCTCAGATAAGAAAAAAGCTGAAGAAATCTATTTAGCCTCACATGATGGCTGTGATTTCCAGATTTTTAAAAACATGGGTTTAGGAAAAATACACCAGAAACTTTTCAAATGATTTAGAAGAGCCATGTGTGGTCTTTTGCACATCTACAACTTACTCTGATGCACACTCTTGGGTACTTTATGCATTAATAGCTCATGCTAGATGAAGAGGTAAAAGCAACCATCACAGGAAAGACAAAGGCACATTTGGTCATATTTAACCACTATGTCATGAATTTCCTTCAAAGGCAGACCAAATGCACTAGATGTACAGATACAGCTGAAATTACAAGTGTGAACATATGTTGCAAGGCTTTGAAAAGCAACTTGGCTACAGAAATTCAGAAGCTTCTTCAGCAAGCTCTCAAATTCACAGAAAATACTTTTTCTTAAAAAATTTAAAACTGAAAGGAGTTTCCCATTCAAATGCCTGTGAAGAATTCAAGTGTGAACTGAGAAGAAGCAAATGAAGGCACACCTTCCTGAGTCTGTGAGTTTCCCATTTTAATTTCTCTTCCACTGCTCACTGACTAACCTATGGCTCCATCCATAGAAAATTTTAGCTTGTCAATGTAGCAGTGAAAACTATCAAGTTAATAGCCTCCTCTCTCAGTATGGAAATGATGAATGACAACTGGAAAAAGTTGCTGGAGGATTCAAAATAGAAATTTTGGAAAAAGAGACAATTTCTTTTTTTTAGCAACCACAAAACTAAAGGAAGGAGTAGAAGATCATCTTAAAAGCAAGTCTGAAAGAAGGAATAATTCTTACAAACTTCAGAACTCAACTATCTCAGGTAAAAGACAGGAGAAGAAAGGATGAAACCATTATATCTTAGATCCCACAGTCAGAAGTGGCCTGAGGACCTGGATGCAAGGTCATGGGACCATCACAAACATTTGAACACCTTTCCCTTTTCATATAACCTACTAAATCTACTCAGCATGTAGAAAGTGAGAACTAAAATGATGCATTAAAAACAGAATCATCATACTGAAAGAAAGAGGGATTTTGGAGAGACAAACCTGGAAAAGAAATCAAAACCAAAAAACGGTGGTGTAAAAGCAAAGGAACTATCAAGAAAGCAAGCAAAGCGAAGAAAAGGTCATAAACATCACAAATTTCAGGTGAAACATTGCAAATAATGGAAAGGAATAGTGTCCTCTCGTCAATAGTCAAAGCAGAAAAAAGTCAAGCCATGCAGAGAAAGAAGAGAATTCAAAGCACAAAAGATTAGCATTATAATTTGGACAAGACTGAAGACAAATCTGGGTGACACCATGTTACAACTAGACAGTGCACAACTGGTTTTGCTCCTCTTGAGTGGCAGGACACAGCTTTCAGGCTGTGAGATCCGAGTGCCAGGTGTTTTTTCCACTCTGCCTAGCTGACCTGGACTTCGGGTTGGTGAGTGATGGATGCATTTCTAAACCCCTGAGCACAGGAAGGAAAAAACTATCATTTAATAACTGTTCTTTTAGCAGGGAAGTTATTTATCAATAACTCCAAATTAGCCAATTACTTGTCCGTTGTTAATTGATCTGTCCCATCTTTCCTTTTCAACACCTCGTGTTTGCTTTCATCTGCTTTCTTTGTGCAGAGCATTTTGTTCTTGAGCAAAAACAACTACATGAGACACTGTCCAATTCTCTGGTTAGGTGCAACATTTTAAAACAGTAGTTCTCTCAATATGCATCGTAATCACAGGTATGCTAAAATGGAGTTTTACACAGACCAGCAGATAAAGCATACATTTCCAAAAAGCACATTTTTGAAAAAATGTATCGTTCTACATATGAGATAATAAAAATAAAAAGGCTCACCAAATCCTTGTTTACTACCTCCAAGATTTTCTGTGATGGGAACCAGTTTAGGACTAAACTAGGCCTACCATTTTAATACTTTTACAGATATATTTAATACTTCCGTAAGATTTTCATAGGAAATATAGTACTGGTATTCACCCTTCACTTTCTCTGGCAAAGTTATTTCTGAAATTAATATTGAAAGTCCCTGTAGATACACCATAAATTCATATTATTCATGCAGTATTTTATTATGTATTTTATTATGATATAATCAATTTAGCAGTCAGATCTAAAGTAGAACATTAAAATTGCTGCAACCACTTTTAAAAAATAGGCTGAATTGGCATGTGAGGAGCAAAATATCCTGTGTCTTATGTATAAAGATTATGCAGCAAACCGTGTTTTGCTCTTAAAGGTGCTGACTTTGCAACTTCAATGCATCCAATCTGAAATCTTCATGAGGGACAGTGATGACATTTTTACACCGCACATTTGCCCTTCTAGCCAGCAGAGACAGATTTGCCCTTGGAGTGACTCTGACAGCCCAATTGGGACTCCTGTGACTTCCACTGAAAGGAGGTTATTCCCTTACAACAATGGTAATAGAAGACAGGAAAGTTGCATTAGAAAATACCATCCTAGAAAGCCAAGAAGGCTGATGCGATAATGTTTGCACAGTGTTGAAAACATGCTCTGTGAAGAGGAGCAGTACTGCCCTTTATAGAGATACATGTGACACAGGTGCAGAGCCAAGTTGCACAGGCTATGAACATCAAACTAGGAACATCAAATTGCTGTCCCACAGATAAGCTTCCCCCTCCCTTATAGCTAAGGCCAGAAATCACAGAGCACACACCTGGATCGATTCTTCTTGGTCAGTTTTCTGAGAAATCAGAACACTGACTTGCTGGCTCTGCAGGGATGGACAGGAACTGATGCTTGGGACAGCAGCCAGGCTGCACAACAGGGCTGCCTCAAGTAAGCACTCCCTGGAGACTGGGGCACCTTGATCAAAAGTCTTCATGGAAGAACTGCGCTTTATTACATTTGCATTTAATTGTGAAGAGAGACAACAGAGTTTTTCAGTACAGGAATGGCAGCATGAAAGAGAACAAGCTGTGAAATACAGGTGGATTTAAAAGCCTTGAGGGAGACCCCCAAAAAATTAATTGTCATGGAACAGAAAGGAAATATTTCATACACATATTTAAAGTATGGATGAGGGAGAACACAAGGTAAGTGACACAGAAACATTAGATACTTGCTTAGAGCATGTTCAAAGCATGCATGCAGATTAGCCTAGGGGAAAATGTCAGTACATACAACTTCACAATGTACCCACAATAGTTCAGGAAGTTACTTTCTACGTTGCCCTTCTCTCACACAGCTGCTTGTCTTCCTCAGAACTTCCAATGCCATAATGGGTAGCTTAGCTTGAAACACATCTGCAGCAGCTAAGTTAAACCAACAGAAGTTGCGCAGAATAACCAAGACTTGTTTCTACATTCCCTTTCATCAGCTCTGCTCTGATGCTTGAACCAACAGCAGATGTGCCTGCAGAAACTCCTTAAAATGGCAGCAGTTGTTTGCTAAGTTAAAATACATCTCCAGTGAAATGCACTAAGCCAAAGAAAAGCAACAGTTGAAAATTAACAACCAGATGAGTCTAGCGTAAATCCTGTATATGGAAGCTTTTGTCTTCTTCCTCCTCCCTTCCCAAGGCATTTGCTAACTCCTTCCTGCTCACTTCTCTTTTTTGTTTTTGTATGAGTCAAAGACTTCTAGAGATGCTCCAGTCATCATTTACAGCTTTCAAAATGCCTGATCCTACACAGCCTGCTGTAAATGTTACTTTAAACTAACAGGATCTTCACAAAGATTCATATGCAAAGCATTAAGTTATGGCAGAAATGTTCTGCAAATATTTATATTACTTTGCTCCTTCTCTACCACCCATCAAGTTGTGCACTTCTGCCATAACTGCGTAAAA